CAGAGTGCTCCCCGAGCAAGGGGTCACCATTTGTCAATATTTGGACAGAAATTATTGGTAAGTGTAGGTGAGAGAGGAGGGGGGAGGGGTGGCATTGAGAGCAGTTTGGGTAATGTGGGGGTAGCCATGCTCCCCCCCCCCTCCTCCCTATACCCCCTTCTTCCTCGATCATCACTCCCCCCCCCCCCCTCCCTAGCTAATCCCTCCCACCCCCTAGATCATCACCCCCACCCCCCTCTCTCAACACCCCACACACTCAACCCCACTATCAGGAGGTTGGCCCCCCCCCCCCCCACCAGACTCGCAAGGCGGACACCACCTCCTAACATAACTCATACTGTAGTTCCCATTTTAATACACTTCCCTTTAACCGTACCTCTTCATCTCTTTTTATTTTCAGTCCCCCCCCCCCCCCCAAAAAAAAAAAACTTAAACCTCTCCTCAGCTCCTTGCGAGTACTGAACCCATACATCTTCCATAGAAGCATCTATCTGCTGAAGTGTTTATAAGAACATGAGAAATATACCAACCCATGATAATCCCCCGAAGCTCTTATGTCTGCATAAACTATATCTGAGATAAACATTGTGTTATAAACTACCACGTTTATAAACTACAACTACGACTCTGAATCACGTTAGTCTGCAAGTTATGAAAGTCACAAAATGGCGCCAAGATCCGCTAAAGGGGTGACTCAAATTCTCAACTTTAATTATGTTGATTCGATATAATAAAAGTAAGCCCATGTATCTAATTTTCTGTGGAAACTCTGAACTACTTTAACATTCATTTGTCTTTGTTCAGGTGTGTCACGCAGCCTGTTTCCTAATGCTATCACAAGTTACTGTCTGCGTGTTTTCCTCTGCGAACCATCATTCGTCAGATTTGCCCAACCAAAAGCCCACATGTCGGATGTTCACCTTCCTTGATCAGTAACGTTGAGTAGTTGGCTCTAGCCAGTAACTAGATGGGTGATCACATGGACGCAGCCTAGCCCTTAGCTCGGGGTGAACCTTGACAAGCCAGGCGGCTCTTGTCCTCGACAAATGATGTTGGCATTAATATAATGGCGAGCGATACAATATGGCCTTCCTAAACACCCGAGTGCTGCACCTGGTTGGATCGATCAGTGCTATCACGTCACATCTTGCTATTGTACTCTATAGCTCTATAACAACTTTTTGTTGGTATTCTCTTCATTGATTGATGAAGATTAAGCCACCCAAGAGGTGGCACGGGCATGAATAGCCCGTAAGTATTCTCTTTGCGTTCCTCCAATTATATATTGTCCTAAGCTGTCCTGTCTCAATCATACACTTTTTCTTTTGCACGGGAATAATCACCGCATTTCCTTATCAATCCTCCCATGATGGTGTAATTGTTTTTTAACCAATGCAATATATATTTTTTGCAATACGTTATATTTTGTAACAGAAGAATATTAGATTCTCATATATCTCTCTTATTATACTTTAAAAATACATTGCTCATTTCTTCCCAATTTTTGAACTGAGGGGATTAATTCATTAGCTCCCCCACCTCTCATTACCACTGCTAGGATTTGTTGTTTAAGATTCAGCTACTGAGAACAAAAAGTTCTAAGTAGCACGGGCTATGGAGAGCCCGTAGTGGACTCACCTGGCACAGGAGCGGGGCTGATGTGTGAACACTGCTAGCATTAGGCTCGGCTACAAGTACCTCTGGGAGTTTGCAACATCTGCTGATGTAGATCTGACTAATTGTAAGCTGTCATATCATGTCAAACTCTGCTGTCAAAACAACAGCAGAATTATTAGCATACTTTGCGTCATTATATAATGGAATGTGAATAAATCGCGGAATTCAGAGATAACATCATCAATGGAGTCCAAGAAATGTGTAAGTAATTCATTCATAATGACGTACTGTCAGGAATCTTAGCGAAGTATTCAAAATTTGCTTACTATGGGTGCAGCCTGCACATGACTGTAAAGCTGCCGCCCAGTTGGGTGGGTGTGGAGCACATGACTGTAAAGCTGCCGCCCAGTAGATGTGGGTGTGGAGCACATGACTGTAAAGCTGCCGCCCAGTTGGGTGGGTGTGCAGCAAGACTAGTAACTGTGCGACTCACCATAGATGTAAAGTGCCTTGTATAGTGACTGTTGTGAGCCTCTTGTTGAATCACTTGTGATTTAAAAGATTATTGATATGTATTTGTGTACATGTATGTATGTATATATATATACATGTAAAACATCAAAAATTGTGTAACTAGCTTAATTAAAAAGATTGTCACTTGCTTAGCTAAACCAACTATGGGGTTCAGTTCCTAAACCCATTATGTGCCTCTGTAATCCTTTCCACCACCGCCCACGGGATGGGTATGGGGTGCACAATGAAGATACTAAAAAATCTCATTAATCTATCGCCGAAGCCATATTTATATCTGGAATTCTATCCCTCATACTCAGTAAGTTCATGTCCATCTTCATTATCTCATTATATTCATAGCATTTTTTGGACATCCTAAGATTATTCTCATGGATTCTTAAGAATATAAAATTTAAGGAAACTTCAGAAGGCCTATACGTAGTAGCTCCTATTTATATCCACCCAAACTCATTCATATATATTAAAAATATGTCTAACCAACGCTTGAAACAATCAAGGGATCCTACGTCCTTTAATGTTACCCGGCAATTGGTTCCACAATATTTACCCATTGTGTACCTTCTCCAATTTGTTTAGTCGCGCAGCGTAGTTAATAAGAGCTCGGTACAAAGTGTATATACGTAGCACAGGCACTCCCACTCCTGTTCCTCGACATAAGGCTTTCAAATTACGGGCTATTCATTCCCGTGCCACCTCTTGGGTGGTTTAATCTTCATCAATCAATCAAGGCTTTCAAAACTTGTAATCTCTTCCGACATTGTTCTTCCAACTTCCAAACTCCATGGTGTAATAGGCTTCGACTTCTACATTCAAACTTAGTTTTGTCTTTTTTTAATCTCCAGTCCCGTATGGTGATTGGTGGTTTGAATATTTAAACAATCTTTACACTTACACAAATACCCTATTTGAATATATCTCAGATGCCGGCCTTTTGTGTTGTACTCTATTGAAAGCGTTTGAGAAGGATTTGTTCTACGCCTTATGATCTGGGAAAATTTTGTCATCATCCTCATCATCATCATCAGCAGGAAGCCTGCTCAAGGACCGGGCCGTGGCGATGCTAAGCCCGAAATCATCACAAGGTATCCTCTATACAGTCTGAATTGCATAAGTCAAGGGTGAGGCTATTTAAAAAGAAACAAAGGGGCAGCATAAATAGAGTCAACGACCGTGTGGGGAAACCATTGAAGGTGGAGTGGCTTGGGCTCTGTCATCAGACCTCTAAACACAACCCGTTCTCCTGAACAGCACATCGCATTTAGACGTATATATTCCCTAATGCCAAAAACTGATGTACTGAAAATTGTAGGGGCTCGCGAAAGTGACGTAATGTCCCATTTTCTGTTCGTGGGTCTTCTGTTAGCTTTGGACAATTTAGTATAACAGTTTAGTGGCGTTGGGAACGTCACTAAAGAACGGACTAGTTGCTTACCACATATGTAAACAATTTAAACACGTGACGGAAAAGCAACAATAACTTCAAAACAATGAACATCGCTACTTGGATGACTTTAAATATAGACATAAGGAAAGTATTAGCAAATGTAATTTAGCGTTGACAAATGTAGGATTTTAGTCCTAGTAAATGATAGATAGCACTGTAACCGCCCCAACGAGGGACCTCATGATAACATTATAACCGCCCCAACGAGGGACCTCATGATAACATTGTAACTGCCCCAACGAGGGACCTCATGATAACATTGTACCCGCCCCAACGAGGGACCTCATGATAACATTATAACCGCCCCAACGAGGGACCTCATGATAACATTATAACCGCCCCAACGAGGGACCTCATGATAACATTATAACCGCCCCAACGAGGGACCTCATGATAACATTATAACCGCCCCAACGAGGGACCTCATGATAATATTATAACCGCCCCAACGAGGGACCTCATGATAACATTATAACCGCCCCAACGAGGGACCTCATGATAACATTATACCCGCCCCAACGAGGGACCTCATGAATCCCGACAAATGGCGGGTTCTGTGCACTGATCCATCACACCTCACATTGCTATATAAATGGCGCACATCCGCCCGTCTATATACGGGCTCACTATAGCCCGTGCTACATGGAAATTTTGAATCTAAAACAACAAAGCCCGGCCATCTCTCCTGCATCACACACATGTCTAAATAACCCTTGTCGGAGAGCTCATGTGGACCAATTTTCCCCAACAGTCATGAAGCGTTGCGCCGCCTGCCATTACATGCTCCACAGTGAACTTAACGAAGGAGTAATTTTAACGGAAACTCAAGCAAGCAGCGAGCGTGACGCGGTAATTAGATCATGTAAAATAGTCATCAGAAGCTTAGAGAGCGAGCATCCACGATGACTGATCAGGTTGTGAGTGCTTCCATACCGCCTCCTTCCCTCCTAAACCAGACGCTCATTTGTACAAATTTCAGGCGTTATTTGAAATTCCCGCGCTGTGATGGTTGATAGTTTGACCTAACCTTCGATTGATGGCTGAATAAGTAATGGAAAGTACACGTTGAGGGTAAGAGGGATGGAGCAGAGAGCCATTGTGTCTGTGACAGGATGTCTCCAGATTATCCCTGTATATGTGTATTGTGTACATACATGGCTGCCGCTGATTATACCCCATGCGCTAATTGTCTTGTGTTTGGTACAAGCCCGGCCTCACTAGCCTAGTCTCGTCTCCCAACCTTCACACTTGGATTAACTTAACTCTTACAAAGTAAAATGAATGGTGCATTTAAAATGTATCAGTGACATTTATCTTATGAAGTTTAATGTGCAATTATTTGATCGTTAATTCAATTTTGTAAAGTTTAGGAATTAATATTCAGTTGTATAATTAAACTAGAGAAATGAACTTATGGATGCACTTGAATCCTACAGGCGTCACCACCCCAGCAGCTGGTGTCACCACCCCAGCAGCTGGTGTCACCACCCCAGCAGCTGGTGTCACCACCCCAGCAGCTGGTGTCACCACCCCAGCAGCTGGTGTCACCACCCCAGCAGCTGGCGTCACCACCCCAGCAGCTGGCGTCACCACCCCAGCAGCTGGTGTCACCACCCCAGCAGCTGGTGTCACCACCCAGCAGCTGGTGTCACCACCCCAGCAGCTGGTGTCACCACCCCAGCAGCTGGTGTCACCACCCCAGCAGCTGGTGTCACCACCCCAGCAGCTGGTGTCACCACCCCAGCAGCTGGTGTCACCACCCCAGCAGCTGGTGTCACCACCCCAGCAGCTGGTGTCACCACCCCAGCAGCTGGTGTCACCACCCCAGCTGCTGGTGTCACCACCCCAGCAGCTGGTGTCACCACCCCAGCAGCTGGTGTCACCACCCCAGCAGCTGGCGTCACCACCCCAGCAGCTGGTGTCACCACCCCAGCAGCTGGCGTCACCACCCCAGCAGCTGGTGTCACCACCCCAGCAGCTGGCGTCACCACCCCAGCAGCTGGTGTCACCACCCCAGCAGCTGGCGTCACCACCCCAGCAGCTGGTGTCAATAGTTTATCCTTGTCTACCTTGTCAATTCCCCTGAGGATTTTGTAGGTAGTGATCATGTCTCCCCTTACTCTTCTGTCTTCCAGTGTCGTAAGGTGCATTTCCCCCCCAACCTTTCCTCGTAAGTCATGCCTCTTAGTTCTGGGACTAGTCTAGTGGCATACCTCTGAACTTTTTCCAGCTTCGTCTTGTGCTTGACAAAGTACGGGCTCCATATTGGGGCCGCATACTCCAGGATTGGTCTTACGTATCAAGATTCTGAATGATTCCTTACACAGGTTCCTGAAGGCTGTTCTGATGTTAGCCAGCCTCGCGAAAGCTGTAGACGTAATTCTTGTTATGTGGGCTTTAGGAGACAGGTTTGGGGTGAGATCAACTCTTAGATCTTTTTCTCTGTCCGTTTCATGAAGTACTTCTCCTATTCTGTATCCTGTGTCTGGCCTCCTGTTTCTACCGCCTGTTTTCACTACTTTGCATTTACTCGGGTTGAAATTTAGAGCCATTTATTGGACCAAGCATTCAGTCTGTCTAGGTCATCTTGTAGCCTCCTACTATCATCCTCTGTTTTAATCCTCCTCATAATTTTTGCATCATCAGCAAACAGTGAGAGGAACGAGTCTATACCCTCTGGGAGATCATTTACATATATCAGAAACAGTATAGGTCCAAGGACTGACCCCTGCGGGACTCCACTGGTGACGTCTCGCCAATCTGAGACCTCACCCCTCACAGTGACTCGTTGTCTTCTGTTGCTTAGGTACTCCTTTATCCAATGGAGTACCTTCCCTTTCACTCCAGCCTGCATCTCCAGCTTTTCACTAGCCTCTTGTGTGGTACTATGTCAAAGGCTTTCTGGCAATCCAAAAATATGCAGTCTGCCAACCCCTCTCTTTCTTGCCTGATTTTTGTTGCCTGGTCGTAGAATTCAATTAATCCTGAGGCAGGACCTGCCATCCCTGAACCCATGTTGATGCTGTGTTACAAAGTTCTTTCGCTCCAGATGTTCCACTAGCTTTTTTCGCACAATCTTCTCCATCAGCTTGCATAGTGTGCAAGTTAGGGACACTGGCCTGTAGTTCAGGGCCTCCTGTCTATCCCCTTCTTGTATATCTGGACTACATTAGCTGCTTTCCAAATTCTTGGCAGTTCCCCTGTTGCCAGTGATTTGTTATATACTATGGAGAGTGGCAGGCACAGTGCTTCTGCTTCTTCCTTTAGTATCCAAGGGGAGATTCCATCTGGGCCTATAGCCTTTGTCACATCCAATTCTAGTAAAAGCTTCTTTACTTCCCCGCTGGTAATCTCAAACTCTTCTAGTGGATCCTGGTTATTCTATTCCCTCTCTTATCTCTGCAGCTTCTCCTTGCTCTAAAGTGAAGACCCCCTGGAATTTCTTATTCAGTTCCTCGCACACTTCCTTGTCGTTTGTAGTGAATCCGTCCGCCCCTATTCTTAATTTCATTACCTGTTCCTTTACTGTTGTTTTTCTCCTGATGTGGCTCTGCAGCAATTTAGGCTGAGTCTTTGCCTTGCTTGCGATGTCATTTTCGAATTGTCTTTCTGCCTCTCTTCTGACATATTCATTCCTGGCGCTCTGGTATCTTTCTCTGCTCTCAAGTGTCCTGTTATTCCTATAGTTTCTCCACGCCCTTTTACTTTGCTGCTTAGCTAGCCTACATCTCTGATTAAACCAAATCTCATCTTCATTTCATTGTTTTCCTTCCGGACTGGGACAAACTTGTTTGCCGCCTCCTTACACTTCTGCGTGATGTAGTCCATCATGTCTTGGGCCGTTTTTCCCGTGAGCTCTGATTCCAATATTATATCTGTTAGGAATTTTCTTATCTCCTCATAGTTTCCCTTTCGGAAGTAAGTGTGTGTGTGTGTGTGTGTGTGTGTGTGTGTGTGTGTGTGTGTGTGTGTGTGTGTGTGTGTGTGTGTGTGTGTGTGTGTGTGTGTGTGTGTGTGTGTGTGTGTGTGTGTGCACGCACATGCGCGTGTACTTGTATTTACAGTGATAGCGACAAGAAATGCGGATACGAACACTAAGTGAGGGCGGGAAGCGAGTGAGGCATGGCGCCTCTAGTGGCGACGGGAAGTATTAGCATAATGTTCAGTCGTCTCCCTCCAGTACCTGGTGTGGGAACACGTCCTCCAGTACAACACGTCCTCCAGTACCTGCTGTGGGAACACCTCCTCCAGTACCTGCTGTGGGAACACGTCCTCCAGTACCTGCTGTGGGAACACGTCCTCCAGTACCTGCTGTGGGAACACGTCCTCCAGTACCTGCTGTGGGAACACCTCCTCCAGTACCTGCTGTGGGAACACGTCCTCCAGTACCTGCTGTGGGAACACGTCCTCCAGTACCTGCTGTGGGAACACGTCCTCCAGTACCTGCTGTGGGAACACCTCCTCCAGTACCTGCTGTGGGAACACCTCCTCCAGTACCTGCTGTGGGAACACCTCCTCCAGTACCTGCTGTGGGAACACGTCCACCAGTACCTGCTGTGGGAACACGTCCTCCAGTACCTGCTGTGGGAACACGTCCTCCAGTACCTGCTGTGGGAACACGTCCTCCAGTACCTGCTGTGGGAACACGTCCTCCAGTACCTGCTGTGGGAACACGTCCTCCAGTACCTGCTGTGGGAACACGTCCTCCAGTACCTGCTGTGGGAACACGTCTTCCAGTTGGAGCGAGTTAGGGGGCCCCCTGGAGCTGTTGGGGCGAGTTAGGGGCCCCCCTGGAGCTGGTGGGGCGAGTTAGGGGCCCCCTGGAGCTGGTGGGGCGAGTTAGGGGCCCCCCTGGAGCTGTTGGGGGAGTTAGGGGCCCCTGCAGCTAGCGGGGATCAAGAGTTAGGGGCCGTTGGAGCTGGTAGGCGGGTCCCACGCTGACAGGATTAATGTACTACTCTTCCAGCAATTGATCTCCAAATATTATTACTACTAAACAACGTCATAAAATAGGGTTTAGTGGTGGTGATTTATAATGATAATGAGCGGCGTTATGTGGTCGTTGGCGAGTACGTTGGTCGCTTCCCCTTCCTGTCGCGTGACCCTCTACAATCAATACCTTAAGGACTTAACTTATCTGTTCCGTGATGCTTTTAGCTCGTCCAGTACGTACTACCCCAGTACCCAAACCCACAGTCCAGTACGTACTACCCCAGTACCCAAACCCACAGTCCAGTACGTACTATCCCAGTACCCAAACCCAGTCCAGTACGTACTATCCCAGTACCCAAACCCACAGTCCAGTACGTACTACCCCAGTACCCAAACCCACAGTCCAGTACGTACTACCCCAGTACCCAAACCCACAGTCCAGTACGTACTACTACCCCAGTACCCAAACCCACAGTCCAGTACGTACCCACCCAGTACGTACTACCCCAACCCAAACCCACAGTCCAGTACGTACTACCCCAGTACCCAAACCCACAGTCCAGTACCCCAGTACCCAAACCCACAGTCCAGTACGTACTACCCCAGTACCCAAACCCAGTCCAGTACGTACTACCCCAGTACCCAAACCCACAGTCCAGTACGTACCAAACCCCCAGTACCCAAACCCACAGTCCAGTACGTACTACCCCAGTACCCAAAAACCCACAGTCCAGTACGTACTACCCCAGTACCCAAACCCACAGTCCAGTACGTACTACCCCAGTACCCAAACCCACAGTCCAGTACGTACTACCCCAGTACCCAAACCCACAGTCCAGTACGTACTACCCCAGTACCCAAACCCACAGTCCAGTACGTACTAGTACCCAAACCCACCCAGTACCCAAACCCACAGTCCAGTACGTACGTACTACCCCAGTACCCAAACCCACAGTCCAGTACGTACTACCCCAGTACCCAAACCCACAGTCCAGTACGTACGCTACCCCAGTACCCAAACCCACAGTCCAGTACGTGCTACCCCAGTACCCAAACCCACAGTCCAGTACGTACTACCCCAGTACCCAAACCCACAGTCCAGTACGTGCTACCCCAGTACCCAAACCCACAGTCCAGTACGTACTACCCCAGTACCCAAACCCACAGTCCAGTACGTACTATCCCAGTACCCAAACCCACAGTCCAGTACGTACTACCCCAGTACCCAAACCCACTGTCCAGTACGTACTACCCCAGTACCCAAACCCACAGTCCAGTACGTACTACCCCAGTACCCAAACCCACAGTCCAGTACGTACTATCCCAGTACCCAAACCCACAGTCCAGTACGTACTATCCCAGTACCCAAACCCACAGTCCAGTACGTACTATCCCAATACCCAAACCCACAGTCCAGTACGTACTACCCCAGTACCCAAACCCACCCAGTACGTACTACCCCAGTACCCAAACCCACAGTCCAGTACGTACTAGTCCCCAGTACCCAAACCCACAGTCCAGTACGTACTACCCCAGTACCCAAACCCACATACCCCCAGTACGTACTACCCCAGTACCCAAACCCACAGTCCAGTACGTACTACCCCAGTACCCAAACCCACAGTCCAGTACGTACTACCCCAGTACCCAAACCCACAGTCCAGTACGTACTAACCCAGTACCCAAACCCAGTCCAGTCCAGTACCCAAACCCACAGTCCAGTACGTACTCCCAGTACCCAAACCCACAGTCCAGTACGTACTATCCCTACCCCAGTACCCAAACCCACAGTATCCCAGTACCCAAACCCACAGTCCAGTACGTACTACCCCAGTACCCAAACCCACTGTCCAGTACGTACTACCCCAGTACCCAAACCCAGTCCAGTCCAGTAGTCCGTACGTACCCAAACCCACAGTCCAGTACGTACTACCCCAGTACCCAAACCCACAGTCCAGTACGTACTACCCCAGTACCCAAACCCACAGTCCAGTACGTACTACCCCAGTACCCAAACCCACAGTCCAGTACGTACTACCCCAGTACCCAAACCCACAGTCCAGTACGTCCAGTACCCAAACCCACAGTCCAGTACGTACTACCCCAGTACCCAAACCCACAGTCCAGTACGTACTACCCCCAGTATCCCAGTACCCAAACCCACAGTCCAGTACGTACTACCCCAGTACCCAAACCCCACAGTCCAGTACGTACTACCCCAGTACCCAAACCCACAGTCCAGTACGTACTATCCCAGTACCCAAACCCACAGTCCAGTACGTACTATCCCAGTACCCAAACCCACAGTCCAGTACGTACTACCCCAGTACCCAAACCCACAGTCCAGTACGTACTACCCCAGTACCCAAACCCACAGTCCAGTACGTACTATCCCAGTACCCAAACCCACAGTCCAGTACGTACTACCCCAGTACCCAAACCCACAGTCCAGTACGTACTACCCCAGTACCCAAACCCACTGTCCAGTACGTACTACCCCAGTACCCAAACCCACAGTCCAGTACTACAACAATATCGACACCCACCATTGTGGCTTGAAGGGGTATGGACGGATGAGGCTATGGGTGAACGAGGGTGTTTGGGTGGATGGGTTGTGGATGTAAGATAGGTTGTGGGTGTAAGATGGGTTGTGGGTGGAGGAGGCGATGCTCCACTACTCCACAACCGTCCACCTATACACTCTCCCACGCTCCTCCAACCGCTCTCACCTCTGCTCCTGTTTAATCCTTTTTTTCCGTTCTCAGGTGAGCATGGCGCGTGAAAACTGAGCAGTTACCAGGGCTGCCATTTGAGCAGCAGTGGTGCCAACACTTCCTCACACAGCCCGGCGCTCTTGCTCTCTCATGCACCCTCTCACTGCTAGATCAAATCAAATCAAATGTTTATGCAGGTAAAAAGTACATACATACCTTGAGGTTACCTTACCTACATAGATGAATTACAAACATAATGTTGGATTTATAGATTACAACCCTCTAGGAAGCGTTTAAGGTTAGGATTGGCAGATTACCAAAGTAAATATAGAAAGTTTTGTCAATGTTAGGGGTTAGTTAGCAGTTAGTCAAAGATGGACTTTAGGACTGGAGAAAATGAAGGTGTTGAGAGGCATTTGGAAGGTCATTAATATAGATGAGAAAAAGGAGAGGGCCAAGTATGCTGCCCTGTGGAACATCAATGGTGATGGGTGGTAGAAATGGAATTATTCACAGAAACATACTGGAGCCTGTCAGTAAGGTAAGACTAAAGGTGTTCGAGAGAGTGACCTCTGACTCCATAATGATGTAATTTAAGAAGAGTACTAGTGTAGATATCCACTATAGGTTACGGTATCACTGTAAGCTACCAAAGTAGGCTACCATTGTAGGCTATTACACTAGGCTACGTTAGCTGTATTATGACGTTGTTATTTCGAAAAACAACAACGTTTGCAAAGTTGCAGACGATACCAAAATAATGCGTGAAATCCAGTACGATACACAAAATTGCTACAAGACGATCTAGATATACTTTTGGAACGAACGAAAGACTAACAAATGTAGTTTAACGTTGACAAATGTAATTCCCAGCCTAGGTAATAATAGTTCCTCGAGTTCCCAAATATCAGATGGAGAATGTTGAAATTGCAAAATCTGAATGTGGAAAAGATCAGTCATGATTAATAGCGATCTACAGTTTTTTTTTAGAAATGTTGCAAGAAGACATTGATTGGTATTGCAAGCCACGGACTTGTACTGACGATGGATGGAAGTTATGAACAAACATCACTTACCAAGTGGCTGCTTGTGCAAGTGGCAGTGAAACTGAGGTTTGGTGGGATCTGTGATGGAAGATAATATTATTAATAATTAAAAAGGGTTTTATTAAATTACATTAAAAATATTGGATTCGAGACAATTACATAGATGGCATTGAGGAGGATTGAACTTAAGTCTCTTGACGACAGACATATATGATGGAGAATGTATAACGATCAATAAATTAAAGTTCATCAAATTATTATATAATTCGCGTATGGAGGCAACGGGTGGCCATATACATTTGTATGACCCTAAAAAACGTCTTTTATTTTGTTTTATTTATATATACAGGCGTTACCGACAGAAAGAGGAAATAAAAAATAATAATTCAACAAAAAATACAATGTTAAATATACAATGTACATAATGCTGGCGGAAATTGACAAGCAAAACAGAAAGATCAACAAGAATCATAATCAGTATAATCTTTCTAGGTAAGAGTACAGATAAAATGTAAGGGGGGACCATATAGTCAGGAGAGTGTACTAATAGCTCATATATACACTTTTTACCCCTTTGGAGAGAGGGGGAGACGTGTCCGTTACCCTGTCGTTGCTGCCAGGCAGATGATTAATCTGTATTCTGAAAGTGCTTTGTGGAGCTGACGTAGTCAGTGATATCTTCCCTTGGTTTAGAGTGAGGAGCGTGGAGGTGGGGGTCACTACTGCGACGAGGAGGGTAGAAGGGAAGAGTTCGAGGCTTAGTATTAGGGAGTATTGAGGAGACATGGAGGGAATTCTCGGATGGAAGAACTGTGAAACGATTATTAAGGAGGTGTGGAACATGCGGGGTGAGGTGGGGTTAACCGGTGACGTGCCCGTCGACCACAAGACCGAGCGTGTCAGGGATGAGAGATGTCTTTATTGTTTCTTTACTTCTTGGGAAGAACTCTTGAATTTTAAAGATACACTGGACTATTAGGCCTGATGGTGTTCAAGAGACTCGGAGTACCTGGAGGACTGACACCACAATTTATTTATACAACGGCTCCAGACGATTTT